GCCAGGATCTTCCCAATGGAAGTAGAAGTGGGAGGTTAATTATACATTACCTCTGTGGGTACTCCCCCATGCCAGGAGAAAGGTTTTCCCTGGGTGTGACTAGGAAAACTGCCTTGGTGGTCACAGTATTTCCTCTGACAGGTAAGTATGGTCATGTCAACACTCCACAACAATGCACAGACATTTCAGTGCCCCAGCCAGGGCCCAATCCTGATTGCCATCACCCCAGCACTGATCAGGAGCTCCCTGAAGGTGACTGGTAAAGAAGAGATTAGGATCTGGCCCTGGTCTTCCACTACTGGGCTCCTTTGAGCGATGTTTAGGGGGTGCATGTGCACCCCCTGAGCTTGGCAGTGCACCCCCTGCAAAAACGCCGCTGACACTGCCGGTGGTGCCTGCGGGCGGTCGTTACTCACCACCCCTACTCCTCCTTGCTGCCAGCACTGCCAGTGACGTCTGTGGGCAGTCCCTGATCGCTGCTGGAGGCATCTGTGGGTGGTTGCCTACTGCCAGTCAGCACTTGCCATCCCCCACTGCCACTGCCACTGCCATGGCTGCCCGTGGGAGCTCCCTGCTTGCTGCCACCACACCCCCACTGCCACCTGTGGGTGGTCACCGTGCTCCCCCCAGCCTCTGGGTCCTTGCAGAGTTTATGCTTTGAACAACAGGGTGCATGTTGGGCAGGGGTCTGAGGTCTCCATAAGCATTTTGGATTCTACCCCATTCTCAGTGATAGTACCATAGCAAGGGGGTGACCGCCCTGGGTGCTGAAGAGAAGGGACGGCAACAGGTGCTACCTGGGTGGGGCGCGGGACAGAGCCGTGAGCAGCATGTTTGGGGGGGCCGCTGGGAAGGGGGGAGGGTGGCTTCTGCCACTGTGTGCACTCCTGGCCAAGCATGGGGGAGTCGTGTGCCCCCTGGACTTGTGTGCGGGGTGAGGGCAGGCTGCCACCGTGGGCTTTCCCCAGGTGCCAAACTTCCTTGCCACGGCACTGGTGATAATTTCCCCAACCCTGTGCTCATCCCTTGGCCCATCCCCACTCCTTGCTTCTCCAGGGAATCTGATTCAGTCATGCAAGGGTTATCTGGGCCTTGCTGCCAAAACAGGTATAAAAAAAGCTGTAGACAATGAGCCAGGCCAGCTGAATTCTCTACATAGTGTCTTGAGGTACAGGCGTGGCACCAAACCAAACTGTTCTGCTCCTGTCCTGACTAAAAGCTGATAAACTGGGGCATGATTTTGAATCGGGCCTGGAGTCAGGAGTTGACAGGAACTACTGCAAAGGGAAAACAGAATGGGATCAGAATCTGATCCAGGACCTGGTCCGATCCATAAGGGGACAATGGGCCCAAGTCTCCTTTCTCACCCACCTTGTTACATCAGCATCAGTGTCATCGGCCTCCCTTGTAACTTACCTTGGTGGAGAGGGAGCCTGCTGGGCGCACTGGGGCATTGTGACTGGAGCTTGCAGGAAAGACATCTGGATGAGGCAATCTGAACAGCTTTCTAGAGAAGAGGCATGCAATGAAGGACAATGTCTTTGTAGTTATAGCCCATCCCTAGTGGATTAAAGTAGTAGAATGGTGCTTATACCAGGAGAGCCGTACTGATATAGAACACTACTCCACCACTGTAACTGTGTCCATGCTGTGGGTTGTACCGGTCTTTTTGGCGATAGATACATGAATGGGACCTGTGGGGGTAAATCCCAGCTGCCCCAAGAAAAAAAAAAGTTGAGGACACATTTCACAGTGACCTGAACCACAATAAATCTGATCTAACAAAGGATAGTATACCTCAGATCCAAACCAAAGTATTTTCTTCACAGACTAATTGGTTTCTTTCAGGGAGAGCAGTTTGTTTCCAGTTGGCCATGGCTTATTTCTGTCTTGGGCCAACACAATTCATGTAGCTATGACCTCATCATCCTCTGCCAGTAGTTATACTGGTACAAAATCTGTGGCTAGAACAGGCCTTGTGAGAAGAAAAAATGATGCTACTGTGACCTTTGTGGGAGACCTGATGAGCTGAGAATGTGCTTGAAATAGCTCATGAGCAGTTTAAGTGAGTGGTGTGCTGTGTAAATATGTGCTGCAGGTGCGGCATAGTCATTCACAATCCACATCAAATATACACCAAGGGACCAGAGTTTGCAAACTGGGACCTCTCTACTCATTTGTGCAAGAGGTCTCCATTAGGGGTTGGATTAAAGCTGCAAAACAAACTTGCTAAGGTCTGATGACTATCTTAAAGCTCCCCACTGTTACAGCCAAGTGCAATATGCATCTGAGGAGCTTGCCAAAAATCAGGGTCTTGTGGGATGCTTCTGTTTAGAAAAGAAACTGATGACAACTAAGGGTCTTTGATGGAATCGTGTTTATTTATAAAGCTTGGGCAGGAAGTGGTGCTTTCCTGATCACAAGTGGCATCAAGCACCAAGCTAGTATTTCATTAGTCACAGGTGTAAAGCCTCTTTCCAGCCAGCACTATGCCCAAAAGCTCTAACTTTCTGTCAGGGTTGTGCCATCTCTCTCTGGCTGCTTTTTCACTTTCTTCTGTGTGTGTGTGTGTGTGTGTGTGTGTGTGTGTGTGTGTGTGTGTGTGTGTGTGTGTGTGTGTGAGAGAGAGAGAGAGAGAGAGAGAGACAGAGAGAAACACACACACACATTCATGTACACAAAAAGCTGCAATCCAATGATCATGATCATGGGTCTAGTTGTGATCATGATCTTCAAATACGGATGGGCAGATCTAGGATTCTGAAAAGGGGGGGGCAGATGGTATGGCACATCATCATCACATGTAGCACAGTGTACACTTTCCTCCAGTTAAAGAGAACCTGGAAGTTTTACTAGTATGTTAGGGGCCTGGTGCTATATTATTGAGTTCAAGATCAAAGCTAAAACAATATACCTTTACTGGAACATGCGCTCATTTGCTAGATAATATATTGAACTAAAAAAACAAAACTAGGCAACAGCAAAAAAGAGTCAAATGATCGTGTCATGAATCCTGTTGTTATTATTATTAAATGTACATCTCTTATTCAGATTGATGAAACAAAATCTAATTTTCTGGAGTGCCTTGACAGTGCTTCCAATACTTCATGGCAAGCCATTTCTGCACCCCAGTTAACTGCACCACACATGAGTGAAGGTTTTGAGGTAGAGCTGAGAACAGTCTGCAGGGCTGTGAACTAGGAGAGAGAGAGATTACCAGGAGTGGCTGGCCCTGCTATGTGTTCAAATGAAAGCTTGACAGCAACCGCTATCCAGGTCTTACACGCTTTCAAGCCTTAACTTGACAGCTGGTTGGCTCTTTTTATAGCTGGATTGTCATTTTAATTCTGTGATGATTACTTTGCAGGTGTGGCCAGGCTAAATTTACTGTGCTATTCACCTGTTAATTGTGTAATACATGTGTTGAGTGTAGTAGGGGCCATGATTTAGCAGGCAGCAGGAGAAAGGGCAGTTTGAACACTGCAACATCAAGACCATTTAGAAGGAGAAGAGGCTGGTCAGCACCTGTGGAGCAGAGAGGTCGCTGGGAATTGGGGAGGTGATAAGGAGCTATAGGGCCATGGGTGACTGGTTCCGCCTTAGTCAGGGCCCCCCCTGCGGCCAGTCTAGACAACCCGGAGGGATCCCCCCATGGCTGATCCTGCTGCCCAGGGTGGGGGTCCCCTCTTGCTGCTGATCCCATGACGGCCAACTGCTGTGGCTGATCGGTGCAGCTGCTTCTGGGGGTGGCTGCAGCAATTGGCCAGTGCTTGCGGCAGGGGTACCTGCGCTCCCGCATGCCCCCCCTGCCCATCGCCTAAGCGGTGAGCGTGGCTGGCGCTCTCAGGGGGTGCACATGCACCCCCATGCAACCCCTCTGTGTCACCAGTGTACAGGGGTGGGCAAAATGTGTCCCACAGGCTGGACGCAGCCCATGAGGCCCCTACAAAATTTAGAAAATTCATATTTATCTGCCCTGGCTGCCTGTCATGCGTCCCTTGACGGCTTTCCAAAACTCAGTCAGCAGCCCCTCGGCCCGAAATAATTGCCCACCTCGGAGCTATGAATAGACGAAAGGGCTGCGCTACCAAACTTGGATCAACAACCTTTAACAATGGATTCTTCTTGAAAGGAGCAGGTGCGGGGCCTCCCCCTGGCAGGAGGGCGCAGCCCCTGCCCCGCGCGCTGGAGGCCAGGGCCGGTGGGCCAAGGCTGCCCACTGACGTTCACGAACGGGTCCCGGTGCAGGACGGCTGGAGAAGCGCTGCTCCCGTCCGAGAAGACGTGCCCGAAACGAGACCTCCTGGGTCCAAAACGACGCCTTTGACGAGACCAGCCGGGAACAGGCGAGCACTGTCCTCTCCTGCTCTAGTCCAAGGCCCGCCGCCGTGCGCGAGCTGGTGCCCTGCCCGGCCGGTGCCAGCGGGAGGGGGCCGGCAACGGGGCCGGGAGCGCCGCCCCGGGGGCGGGTCCGCTCAGCTCA